AAGTACGTGAAAGCGGCTATCATCCTGTGCTTTCCCAGCCATGATTGGCTATTATTTGATTACAAATATTTGGCACATGATTTATATATTCACATATAACGTTTTGAGAAATTGTATTCCATGCTTGATGAACTAAACGTCCTAAACGCTGTTGAGAATTTAGATGGTTTCTCTGCACGTATCGATTCATCCAACACCAAACACTCTCAACAGCATTGAGATCAGGACTAACAGCGGGATAGTTGTCTAAGCATCTGATACCGTTACTTAGTAACCAATCATGTGCTAATGCCGTGTGCGCCCATGTGGGACGATCGTGTATTAAATGATATCCTCTTAGACGACGTAGATCTGTATTCAGTGCAGCTGGCAGATGTTGAGCGTACGTTGTAGTATTAATTCGACCACGAATGAATACTAAATTCGATCGACCATTATACCAGACTGCACCAAACACTGCGACGCGAAACTGAACTTGACTGTGGAAATGTGTTGGTCATGGACGACCATGTGGAATCCAGTAAACTAAACCAGAAACGTCAACTTCAAAGGCTTTTCCATCACTGAAGATGATATTGTTCCATCGAGCTGTTGCATAAACAGCGTTTAGGACGTTTAGTTCATCAAGCATGGAATACAATTTCTCAAAACGTTATATGTGGATATATAAATCATGTGCCAAATATTTGTAATCAAATAATAGCCAATCATGGCTGGGAAAGCACAGGATGATAGCCGCTTTCACGTACTTCGAAATTACACACTTAGTTTTGTAATAACTTGTTCGTATATTAAAAATAAATTTGAAAAGATGAATGAAAAAGAGAAAAAAATGTATTCCTAGGGAATCTAATGATGAGGGTGTCTTTGTTGAGCTTGAATTATTTTTCCGAAAACAAACGCAATTAAAAGATGCTTATAGAGATTTGTAGAGAATTTCACAGGGTATCCGAATCTATAATTACTTTTCCCAAAATGTTGATTTATAGTGGTAATTCATTCAAAATATCGAATCTAACTATTTCTGGCCAGAGGGATATACACTAATATACAGATTTCTTGACTTTTGCATGCTCATTTTCAAATTGCTTCAAGAAAATGTGGAAAAAAATCTGTGGAACTCAGATTTTCTAGGACACCAGTCTTTGAATGTTTCAATCATGCATTTCCGTATTCCATTTTCCCTGGATTACGAAAAACTTGATGTTTGAATAGGTGAGTATCTGAACGCCTGAGATCCTGTATAGATGAATGCCTACATTGTTTAAAAGTTTATATGTACAGTATATGTCATTTGTAATACTGCATTATTGCTACACATATGTAGAGTATGGCTGGAAGTTTGATTTCATAAATTACTGAGGAAAAATAAGAACAGAATTTTGAATTATTGGATCTTTAAGGGAAAACAAAATTTTTTCATAGCTTTGCTTTGTAGCAATGGCAAGGTTTTCATGAAACCATTGTACCTGGCTTGACCACATCATATCTATAAACAACATTGTAATTTATTTCTAACGTCAACCTGGGACGATTTCAAATAAGACAATGTTCATTGCTCGGTCAAAAAATACATGAACAATGACAAATGCTCATAAATGAAAAAAGATGTTGATCAACTTCCTTGAGCAATTTTGAAAATTCATCATACAACAACATTCGATGGACAAAAGTTCAACTCATTTCAATGGGCTAATAGATTACACAATTCTGATGCATCATGATAATAATTTTCAATAAAGTCATTTTCAAAATTTATTGATAAAAAATCTTCAACAATCGGAAAGAACATGAAGATTTATTAAACGATCCATTTGAACAAACAACATGATGTGCTTATATATTTAATATACTAAAAAAAATCTCAATAATCAACATGATAAACAAAACTGAGCTCTCGTATTTCAATGCCATTCAGTCGAGCTTTGACAACTTTACTAGGTATTTTAACTGATCTATCGGTTACAAAAAATCAAATATTCAACAAACCATATTTCGATAATTGTCGATTCAATTGATAATACATATTTATTACTAACAAAATGTATACTTCTTCCTTATATATCAACTGATATTTTTTAAAACATAACGAGTCTTTCAGAAATCCTAGATAAAGTGATATAATACTGATAACACAATTGAGTACACTTTGCACTAATAAAACGATACAGATATAGTAACTATCTCTATCTCAGGATAATTTGTTCTCAAAATTTTGAATTTATTTGTTGTTTATTAACAATTGGAGAAAAAAACAAAACAAAAAAAACAAGATATTTTTTTCTTAATTATACAAACGTGAAGATAGAGAAGTGTGAAATGAACAACACATGACGGTTAGAAAAAATCAACAGACAAACAAAAGAAAAAACCTTTCTAGTTTGTTAAAAAAAACCAGAGGTCTATATATACTGGACGGAACGTGAAAATTACCACTTATCATGAAGACAAAAAAAAAGCTATTTGATAGAAATAAAACCGATTATCTTCGGAAAAGAAGTCGTCATTATGTTACAAAGAGATAATAATAACAAAATTTGAGCGTCGTATATATTTGAGGAAAATGACAAAAAAAAAAGAAGTAAAGAAAAATGCATAAATTTAATGAGACTTTACGATTAACTGTAGAGAGAGAGATTTTTAAACAAGTGAGAAAGAGAAAATAAATGCCATCGCGCATAAATACAATACACACTGTTTTATTAGTTATTATGCATTCATAATGGGAAAAAAATAGTACACGACATATAGAAGAACAAGAATTGAGAAAATAGAACGTATTACACAGTATATAAGGACATGTACTAGAGTAGTTAATTGGTCCGGTAAAACAAAAATGAATCATCTCAAGGATCTTTATATTAATACATATGTATTTGTGTGATACAACATGATTTTTGTTTGAAAAAATTAATCAAAACGAGCTCGCATACCACTAATCAACCGGGCAGAAATTTCTTCTCCCTCCATCATAAAAACAAAAAAGAAAAGTCAAATAGAGGAATTATCGGTAGGTTTTTACAACATCGATTATCACTGTTGAAAAGAGAGGAGTTAAAAGAAAAAAAAAAGAGATCTTTTTGAATGAGAGAGAGAGACAACAGGCATTACAAACGATATGAAAGAGAGAGAGAAAGAATGACTGAACATTAAATCTGAGAAAATCAGTAATAGGATAGGCAATTTTAAGGTAGAGAACGCTTAATCAAACACTGTTTTAACTATCCCTTAATCCCATACTCCAGATGAATAAAAACATTAGACTAATTGATGTAGGATACGAAACGTTAGGAGAGATCCGGACGGCGTTTATTCATCGTCGACTTCTTTTATTGCCATATTGTTCTTGTTCAATACTATTTTCATCTAATGTTCGTTTTATTTCAATAACACGAATTTGCGATAGTGGTTCTTGTTTTTCAGTCGAATCAACGATATCATTTGTATTTAACGTTGATAAGATAGATTGTTGTTGCGAGATTATTGGACGAACAACGACATTATTATTATTAATATCGTTTTGAACGAATGTTTGTTGTGAATTTGTTGTTGATGTTTCAATTTGATGAATAGTGGTAGCTAATCGATTAATATCATGTTGATCACACGCTGATTGTCAAAGTGCTTTTCCAGGCCTAAAAATAATATCATAAAAAAGAAAAAGTGGAGAAAAGAAGCTGGAGAACACGTGCCAATAAAATGATAAGTGTGAAAATACATAGAGATCACGTTGAGCGTATCTTTATCCCATGTTCTCGTGTTATTCTTCAAAATAAGAGTTTTAAAATCTTAAAAACTTATTCAACTTACATATTAAATGAAATTCCTTTGTATTCATGATTAGGAAATTCAGCTAAAAATAATGTGCCATTTGTTAAATTACCATTTGCTACAGCCATACTTGGATTTGTTTGTTGTAGTTGTGTCATACCGCTTGACATTGGATGACCGAGACCCTATTGAAATAAATAAAAAGAAAAATGATTATAAATACAAATCTTCAAAATACCGAATTGTGCAATCAAAAAAAATTTTTTCCTATAGTTTATCACACAGAACTGTTATGATCATTTGAATTGCTAGTGCCATATATAGAATAAAAACTAGAAAATTGACGAAAAGTACTTTAAAAAATCATTAGTTTTTTTATTCAAAAATTTATCAGGATAATATGCTCAAAAAGAAGAGGAAATAATAAAACAAAATCGGTGTCATGAAGTGAATAAAGTGTAAATATATTGGTAAGAAAAGTGTAGAAAATAGGTCAAAAAATTCAAATAATTTTCCATGTGATGATTTTCGTCTCAATTTGTGATAATGTCATATTTTAAATAAATTTTATTTGTGCAAACTGTGAAACAGTGTATTCAGTCACCATAATGTATTTTTTATCTATTTTTTAGTGAATTGAGAACGTGTATATATTTAAATATTGATACAAATATAGAATTGAATGGAAAAAAATTTATTACCCTCGTTTTCTTTTCATAAAATGTTATCGTCTAAAGATGAATGAAGTTGTCTCTATCATATGTGACTGCTATCACTTACACTATCATTTGATTCTAAAGTTTTAACTTAATAAGAATGAGAATAAAATATATTTGATGTTCAAAAAATTGTTTTTTTTTTAATTTAAAATCATAAAACGAACATTTCTTAAAAGTCTATTTTATATTATACATATATTTGCGTATAAATTATATGATGAAAAACATTGCGAGAGCATATCGTGTTATTATATATGTGATGAGAAGAATATTGTGTAGTGTTTTTCAAACCAGAAGTCTGATGATATATACTGTAGAAAACTACAGTTTTTTTGCAATTTATACCGGCTGTGAATGCTCTTTATGTGTATTATTTATTTACTTACACACGATGTTTATGAAGATAGATAAATTGGACTACCATGAAGCTTAAAGAGGATTGAGATTGAAAAAGTCTTACGTACTTTAACTTAACAATTAAAAATAAGAAATTAATTACATACCGGAATATGTGGTCCATGTAAACCCAGTAAAGCTGGATGATGAAGTCCAGCTGGTCCTAAATCAAACGTTAATGGTTGTCCCCAAGCTTCTGTGGGAAAAAAGGCAGCACCGAGTTCTTCTATAAAAGAAAAAAATATTGGATTCATTATTTATGTTTAAATATAAAATATCTACATACGTGGAATTTGTATATATTGTTGGCCAGCAGTTAATGCATTATTATGCGGATGTTTCGGCTTTTGTACTTTTGTATTACTTTTAGCGAATTCTAGTCGTAATGTTGCTGGAAGATCAGGATCAAATCGTACACCCTAAACAAACAAAAATAATAGATGATTAAAAGATGAAAAAATATGTGATTATTAATGATATATAAAACGTACAGTCAATTCTTGTTTAGCTGCTTCGGCATCAGCTCTCGTAGCAAACGTGACAAATCCTACAGGTGATAAATTTTTTCCATTTTTATTCGTTACTTTTAATAGCGATCCTTCGTAACCCTAAAACAGATAGAATAGATAAAATATAGAGGACAAGATGAATATTTTATTTTTCTAACAAAAAAATTTAAAAAACTTAATTTACTAATTTTATCTGTTCATATTGATTTTATTCTGTCATCTTAGATTGAAGAAATTTCAATATATATATATATATATACTCTATTTATTCAATCTTAAAATTATTTATATATTTGATTAGTTAATATCGATTTATATCTACACATTATGCATGTCTCTAATAAAAACCATCTTTATTTTGTTATGTCAATCAAAAAAACAGAATAATGGATAGAAGATTGGTTAAATAAAATATTTTTTCATTTCAAACAATAAAAGACAGCTGCCATATAAAGAGTTTTTATTATTAAGAAATGATGTTGGTGTAATACGAAGAAAATGATGGAGACATTTCGTTTAAACTCAGTCTACATCAACGATGTTTTATTGATAAGACGTATAAAAGAACTATCAATTTTTGGTTATAATAAAGATAGTGAGCCGAGTTTTTAATTGAGTTTATATAGTGAATACGAAAAATTATTCATCCTCCTTTATTTTGATTTTCTTTTCGTCAATCTAAAACAAGTTCAAATAGTAATTTGTGGTGCAGAAAGAAAACTCAATTAAATATAGTTTTTATGAAAATTCTATTTAATATTTTCAAAAAATGAATTTCTAGAAAACTCAAAACTCTCTATTTTCAGATCCTCTAATCCCAGCTGGATACTTTATGAAAATAGTGCCGT